AATTACGTATTTACGGTAATTAGCTAATTACCATCTCATGTATAAATATGACCCAATTTTAACAAAGTTTCTTTTGCCAAAGATTCAATGCTTTGTAGCTGCTGTTGATTCTTTATTATATTAGCTAAAAATAAAAAAAATCAGACCTGCTAGATTATAATATATAATTTACTTACAGATGAAGATGAAGCTGAAGATGGTAATGGTGAAGCATTAAATAGTATAATTGAAACAGTAGTAATGATAATAGAAGATGACGTAAAATTTGTAGTTTCCATTCAATGCAATATTATATAAGATTAACAATTAAATTGAAAATTATATCATAAACATACTAAGTGCAGTGGCTGATCCCTCTTTTTTGGCTCTTTTAGAAGTTTCATTATTAGTGAGGTACTAAATTAAAATGAATTAAAAGGCAATGACAGTTACAATAATTATCCTGAAATTTAAATGATTTCTAACTACAATTACAACAAGTTTCAATGATCACAACTATTGTCATTCTTTTTAATAAACTAGAGTGACGACGAGTGGCGATAACCAGCATGGTGGACATTCTTATAATTGGTAATGATTTTCGTCGATCAGATTACGCAAAAAAGAAAAATTTGATTGGGAATAGACTACACAAAAATTTAATGTTGAGAGGAGGCTTCGTGACGTATATATAAGTTTTATCAAGTAGATATCGGAAGCAAATTTTATTTAATAATACAAAACCATTAATTTAACAATAATCAAGAACAAACTATTATTTATGAAATAAATATATATTATACAAATTTAACAAATTTATTAATTTAACAATAATTATGGAACCACCTCATTTCTATTATCTATGAAATAGATATAAATATATTATTAATTTAACAATAATTATAGAACAACCACCCTGTTTCTATCCACACCTAATAACAAGAAAAAATAAATATATTATACAAAACACCAATTATAAGAATGTCCACCATGCTCATTAGTATATGCTGTCATACTTGTATGTAGGCAGTAGTTGATTAATTACTAAATTTTGACCCTGAATTTCTTGGTGACGCGATGTCCACTCAGAGCAAAATTACGTGTAACCCAAATCAAAATTGTAAACTCTTTTATTATGACAACTACTCTTTGAACACCAATTAAAAATGCTCAACATGAAATTTATATATAGTGACATCTTTTGAGTTGTCAGGTATTCTCTCCATCCTCTCCAAAAACATCGAGTTTCTGTGTTTTTTTTTG